CTCCGAGCGGTCATTCTAAGGTAATACTCTCGCGTAAAACCTGTAATTTTGCGGAGACTCTGGTAGCACAAACATGTGAAAAATTAATTGCGCAGATCACTAGTCAACTGTTTCAGCATTCAATTCAATTTCTGATCAAAGTGAATTTAAAAAGTTTTTTTTGTTAGAATTGAAAAAATCTTGCTTAAAAACTCTGTCATCTAGCGAAATAAAAGTAGTCTTAAACTACTGACCACATAGTGCGCCGCCATACACATGGTTCTGCGTGCGAACGAGTGCATGCCAATTCTGGTTGTGCTCGTCGCTCACGCACGTCATATAGTGAAACGTATTATTTGTATACGTTATATGAGCAATTCTTTAAGAAAAACGCATTTTTTGAGGTGGAATCACGGCAAATTTTTTTTTCAACCTACGTGGATACGGAACCCTGGGAAGTGTTTCTGAGGGTCCTGGGAACATCTTACAACGTAGGAACCATTGACATTTTAATAGTGTCTATTTTTATAGCTACTTTTGTGATTTAGAGGACGAAAAATCATGTTTTCCCGTAAATACGGCCAATTACTCAATTTTTGAGTCGCTCAAAATGTATGAAAACTCATTTTAAAAAAAATAGCTAACTACTATGATAGGAAATTTTCTCAGCTTTCTGATGGTGGTATCAGCTTTTTCAATACGTCGCACATTCACCCAGAAAATTGCCATGAAATACGGAGAGCTAAATATATCGAAAAACTCAGTATGGAAAAAGTGAACTTTATGGTTTATTTTTAATTTTTCCACGTGAAAATGAAATTTTTTAGAAAACCTGAATGCAGCATGGAAAAGTTGAGAAAATTTCCTATCGAAATGATACCTTCATTTATTTGTTCAGATCAATTATTGTTCAAAGAGAATTACTAAAACATTCAGAAAGTACTTGGTAAAATTATCGCAATAAAATTGATACAATTCTGCTGCACGATTGTTACTGTTTCAATATTAAGCAGGAATTGCATTGTCTGCAGAAATTAACGGGTTCATTTCTTCTGAAATTTTCTTACATTCTAGTACTTTGCGTCAAATTTGCATCAGGTTCAAAAAGATTTTGCTACCAAGGTAATCTTTGCGACGAATATTCATTGAAAGGCTCTCCGCTTCAGAAGAGCAACGTGTTCATCAGCTTTTGAACGATGAGGAACTCGGCGACCGTAAGCCATATCAATTCGAACGGCATTTAAAATCATCAACCGGTCCCACCGTGATTCAACCCAACTTACTTCGTCGTCATTGGCTACGACGTCTGCCTACTCACGCACTAACGATCTTGACAGCTCGGCCTGAACTTTCTCTCGAGCAACTTTCTGATTTGTCCGCCAAAATATATGAGATTTCTATAATTTCCGCAGTACACGCTGTTGCTAGCCCACTGGATCAGGTACTTCCTTCCGCTTTCAATGACGTTGTGAATGCTGTTCAGAAATTGACCCTCGAAGTCAACGAGCTACGACGATCTCTTTCTAAGTGGGGACAGCAACGATCGAAGAATCGCAATCGGTCAAAATCGACGAATCGTGCTCAAGATAATGATGAACCTGCATGTTGGTATTGTCATCGATTTGGCAATAGGGCGAAAAAACACGTCCCACCTTGCAAGGGAAACGCCAAGGACGGTCAGTAGCGACAGCCGACTGTCCATCATCGAAGAGCCGCTTATTTGTAGTGGAAAAATCTACGAAGCATCGTTATCTCGTCGACACCGGCTCTGACTTATGCTGTTTTCCTCGACGTCTACTGCGTGAACGAAGATCAGTCACCGATATACAACTCACCGCCGCCAAAAATAGCATTATAAGAACTTACGGTTATTTAAACCTTAACCTAGACTATTGATTTTTTGGAGTTCTCCAACGATCTGTTTAGGCAGTAATTTAACTCATAATTTTATGAGTGTTGATTTTCCACGAATAGCTAAGATACGACGATGATTTTCAAGATGATTTAAAATACGAGAAATTTTTCTACGCTAATTTCAAATCTGTGGAGTTGAAAACATCTAAAGATGACTATTTTATCAAAGCCACAATGCAATTTGAATCGTACACAAAGTGAAAAAATTCAACCTCGACCAGGAGTTGAACCTGGAACTCCTCGCCAATAGCCGGCGAGTGCTATACCAGTCTCGCTAGCCGCTACCGAGGTCTTGGTCAAATCTATCACTTATTTGTGTACAAGAAGAAATGATGTTACTTTTATTGATTCAAATTTTTTAGATTTTTGTTATGAAGTTACTCGCGTTAAGAATATTAGTCGCGTTGTATTCAAATGGCCAGTTTCTGATCTATGGCCGGGTTATTAAATAATTTTTAATCGCGTTCACGATTGTGCCGTTTTTCATACAGACAAACAATTGATTTTTTGGAGTTCTCCAACGATCTGTTTAGGCAGTAATTTAACTCATAATTTTATGAGTGTTGATTTTCCACGAAAAGCTAAGATAGGACGATGATTTTCAAGATTATTTAAAATACGAGAAATTTTTCTAAGCTAATTTCAAATCTGTGGAGTTGAAAACATCTAAAGATGATCTAAAGATAAATCTAAATGATCTAAAGATCAAAGCCACAATGCAATTTGAATCGTACACAAAGTGAAAAAATTCAACCGCTGAACTCCAAAAAATCAATTGTTTGTCTGTATAAAAAACGGCAGAATCGTGAACGCGATTAACAATTATTTAATTAACCAAGACTTTGGCCTTCGGCGGAGTTTCGGTTGGCGTTTCGTCGTTGCTGATGTTTCGCAACCTATTTTGGGCTCAGATTTTTAAGCTCATTATCATTTGCTTCCAGATCGTTGTGACAAACGATTAATCGATGGTTCAACTAGCCTGAGTGTTCCTGCATTTTTACAACGCTCAAATCAATGCAGTGTGAAAACCATCTCAGCTACGGGGGCTTACTCCGACATTATCTCGACGTTTCCAGACCTCGTCTGTCCATCTGGTTTGCCGATTCCAGTAAAACACAACACCGTCCATCATATACGGAGGGTCCGCCTTTATCGTGTCGTCCTTGCCGTCTTGCTCCTGAAAAGCTTTGAGTTGTGAAGAACGAGTTTGAGCAAATGCTACTCGTAGGAGTTTGTCACCCAATGTTTATATGTCAATTTACATATGCACTGCTGTAATTCTTGAATTTGAACTGCTAAAAATGTCACATTTTCATAAAAAGCTATTGAAACTTCTTCATAGCTTCATTATGAAACACTATGTTGAGTTGTAAAAATATAATTGCACTCTACATATCTGTGGTGGAAAGGGAGAACCGACCAACTCCATTTATTTCGAAATCGAGTTTATGACGTTAAACACCTACATTTAGTGTCAACTTTGATGTTCAAGTGTCTGAATGGCCGGAAATTGCGTCTATTGTTTGGTACAGCACTATGCCAAACCGACCAAGTCCCTTTCGAAACAAAAAGTGACCGGCCATACCGACCAAGTCCATTTCAGTGACTCCCTCATCTTTGGTTTAAAAATGATGGAATATGATATTGGAACGTTGTTTATACAACTCTCGCTTCATTGGATGCTGCCGGAGCACTGTGACCGTTAGGGCACTTGACGCAGCAGTAATCTACGATGTTCAAGATATTGGATGTTTGATGGCAATTTCCTCGGTGAAAATGGAAAATTTCGGAAAATCTGATATTACCATCAGAAAGTTGAGGAAAATTCCTATCGAATCCATTAGTTAGTTTTTTTTCAGGTGAGTTTGGATGGTTATACAGCGACTTAGAAATTGAGCATGTGGACTTGGGTGCAAGACGTTTCTCGGTCAAACCGACCAAGTACACTTTTTTCGCTTCGCATCTACTTTATCAATTTGATAGTTACATGAGCCAAAAGATACATCATTGTAAGTTAAAATATATCGGGTACAGAGTTATAGTCGTCCGCGTCTAGCTATGCACTCATACGCAACTTCAACCACGGTTTTCTCAAAAACACGAAAAATGGAGTTGGTCGGTTCTCCCTTTCCACCACAGATATACTTTTTTCACTTTCAAAAAAATGTAATTTGTAGCCATTGGAAAATCAAGAAGCATTCAGCACACTGTTGTTGACATTTGATCCGGTCTCGCGCACGAAAGTGAGAGAGACAGAAGATATGCCGAAAGCCACGTGCTGCGAGTGGTGGCGTTGCTGTACACCTATAGTCATGTAAACAAACAAAGTTCTACTGGATGTATTATAACCAAAGAATAAAACAAGTATCAACAGATGGCGCTACCGACTTATGAAAGTCCGGAGATTCATGAAAGAACGGCAATGTTTTTTTTTGAGTCGTTTTATTAATTTCTGCTGTAATAATCATAAAAGTATCGGTACTAAATAGGCTGTACCTCTCGATAAAATCAAAATTAAAAAATTCTGATTACGGCTCTGGAAAGCTGAATAAAAATGCTATTAAAAAAGTCAATAAGCAAAAAATTTTTTTTTAGATTTTAGGTACTTTTCCCCCCTTAAATTGTTTTATTCTTTTGATAGCTTAATAAAATAAATGAGTTTTTGTTATAGGAATCGAAGAACATTTAAACATTATAATATTTTATTTATAAAGGCATTGTAAATTTAATTGTTCTATATCGAATTTTATAATTTTTAATTACTTAGTTCGTGGTTGTTAAAAATATTGTAAAAATTTAAATTAGAAATAAACCTTTTTTTCACGACTTAAAAATAAAAATTTTACAAAATTGAAAAGTTTGAATGAATTCACTCGAGTACCAAGTATATTTCAACGCAAATTTTTCAATTTCTTAAATTGTCACTATTATAAATATTATTACTTTACACAACATTTTCAAACAAATCAACAAAAAATATTAATATTAAAAATTAATTCATATAGTCTTTTAATAAATTAATTTTTAAATTATTTTTGATCCACTGTTCTTAATCTGCAATGATTTTGAGTAGAAACCCTATTTTAAAATATTATAATAGAGCCTTGTCAATCATCAACTGGGCTTACAGTGGTGGAGCTGAAAATAAAATAATGCAAGTTAATTAAATTATAAAAATTTTTTCCAATCTAAATTATATTTTTTATTATAAGTCAATATTAATTACAACAAGAAATTCTTATTTAATGAAACCTAATCATTTTTTTATGTTGTACGTTAGGCTTTTTTACGTTATGTAAAAAAGAATTTTGTTCAACTTGCTCAATAATTCTTTCAATTAAATATAAATTAATTAAATTTCTAAACCCAGGCCAATCTAAGGTACATTCGATGATATGCTCATGCAAGTCACATAGTAAAATACTTTTCGTTCATATTTAGAACAAAATATATTTTCAATAGGTTTCAAGTGACGAGACGTTCCTGCTTTTGATCCAAAAAAATTTATCATTAATAGACCTGCAGATTACAGCCGCTACGGGCTCAAAATAAGATGATAGTGGTTAAGACGAGGTTATAGTTTCTAACTGAGTTTTTCTGAAAAGTACTATCAAGGAGCACATCGACTTAAATGTTAGAGAAAATTAGATGATCGGAATATATGAATAATTGCAAAAAACTACAATTTTTCAGCCATACAAATTTGATGAAATTTCAAATTTAATTCGTGATATCTCAACGAATAATGCATCTTTTGACATGAAATTTTTACAGGATATTCTTCAAACTATCTACATTGATGTCGCGTAGCTCCGATCCCTTCATCTTTTATATAAACAAAATGGTGAATTTTCAAACTTTTTTTTGGCAAATGTCGAATTTTTTTTTCAAGCAAAAAAGTTGATTGACAATGTTTCGAACTTCGAACTCCTTATGTTACTACATTAAAGTAAAATACATGAAGAAGTTTTGTGGAAAATTGCAGCTCATTATGTTTAATATATATAAAAAGTTGGAGCGATCATAAAGTAACATTTTCGCGCGCGGGCCGACAATGAGGCAAATTTCCTGAAGTGTCCTAGCGCTCTGCCGCGAGGCATTTTATGGGCCAATCACTCAATTTCTAACTCACTGTAAAAGAATCAAAACGCGCTTAAAAAAAAACAACTCACTAATGATTTCGATAGGAAATTTTCTCAGCTTTCCGATGATAAAATAGGATTTTACGATCGTTTTTCATTTTCAACCGGAAAATTGTCATCAAACGCTTAGAGCTCAAATCTCGAAAAACGCCACGTTTTTTATTTTTTCAATCGAAAGATGAGGTCTTTTTACATCGGGTAATTTTCAGAGTGTACTTTTGATGAAAACTAAGGAAAACACGAGAAGTTTTAGTTAGTGCACGGCTCGCTGTAACTTGGAACTCGTGCGTATGAGATTCTGATTCGACTGAAAAATAAATGAAAACATAATTTTGATAGGAAGTTTTCTCAGATTTTTCATGGTGTAGTTAGATTTTCTGATAATTTTTATTTTTATATAGAAAAATAGAAAATAAACTTTTAAACCCACTTTTTCTTGTGAAAATAAATATTATCGTAAAATCTAATGTCAACGTCGGAAAGCTGAGAAAAATTTCCGATCGAAATAATTTGTAAGTTATTTTTTTTCAGGAGCGTTTTGATTTTTTTACAGCGAGTTAGAAATTGAGTGATTGGCACATGAAATGCCTCGTGGCAGAGCGCTAGGACACTTCAGGAAATTTGCCTCATAGACGGCCCACGCGTGAAAACGTTACTTTATAATCGCTCCAATTTTTTATATATTAAACATAATGAGCTGCAATTTTACACGAAACTTCTTCATGTATTTTACTTTAATGTATTAACATCAGGAGTTCGAAGTTCGAAACATTGTCAAATAACTTTTTCGCTTGAAAAGAAATTCGACATTTGACAAAAAAAAAGTTTCGAAATTCACCATTTTGTTTATATAAAAGATGAAGGGATCGGAACTACGCAACATCAATAAAGTTAGTTTGAAAAATATCTTGTAAAAATTTCATGTCAAAAAATGCATTATTCGTTGAGATATCGACTTAAAGTTGAAGCTTCATCAAATTCATGTGGCCGAAAAATTGTAGTTTTTTGCAATGATTTATTTGATCTGATTATTTAGTTGTATCTAATTTTCAACTGTAGATGCTCCTCAATATTACTTTTCAGAAAATCTCATTAGAAACTATAACCTCGATTTAACCGGTTCGACCATCAAAACTGCGCTAATCTGCAGGCCTATAAAGAAGCAATCTGGCTTACACTGCCCAAAATTATACAATTTTTGCGAATTTATTGGGAAGTGTAATGTAACGTAATATGCTGCCACCTAGCGCCTACGGCGCCACACATGCAAGTTGCAAGCCAGCCGTCGTCAGTTGGTTGCACGATTCCGATCTAGTAACACCAGTGCTACCTCATTACATATTGTACTCCTATACTATTATTAATCCTACATTAATAAACATTTATTAGTTTATGTTTTTTGTATTATTTCCACGACTCTAGACATAACATCAGCGACGAGTATAAAAAGGAATGAACGGTGAAACAAATAACGAAGCTTCAGGGTCGACGACGTTTAATAAAAATACGAATTACGACGCGGAAAAGCAAGCAAAGGAACAAAAAAAGCAACTGAAAAGAGAAAAGCAAAATTCGGCAACGGCTGACGATATGAGCAAGGGAACAATTGGAGCAATAGAAAACTTTGACGTGGAGGAGGACTGGACACAATGGCAGGAACGCCTAGACCAATTTTTTGTGGTTAACGAGATAGCAGAAGCGAAAAAAGTTCCACTGCTATTAACGCTTATAGAAAAAAAGGCTACGCATTGTTACGAAACTTGTGTATACCTGATGTCTCATCAATGAAAACCTATGAACAGCTAACTCTGCTGATGAAGAATCACCTGCAGCCTGCACCGCGTGAAATAGCGGAGCGTTATAATTTTAAAAGGTGTATACGAAAAGAGAGTGAAAGTGTAAAATCATTTTGTGCGCGATTAAAGCAATTGGCAACGCATTGTTCATTCGGGATGGGATTGACGAACAATCTACGGGATCAGTTCGTTTGTGGAATTCGTTGCGAGTCGACGAAAAAGAGGCTGCTAGGTGAAAAGGACTTGACTTTCGACAAGGCAATTCAAGTAGGTACCGAGATAGAGATGGCATTGAGCGATGCAGCTGGAATGAACACCACATCCATGAACAACGCAGCATCGATAAACTAAGTCAAGGGCAAGCCGAAACAAGATAAGGACGGAGCGAAAAAGGGCAACAACTCAAAAAATAACAGCGCGGGGATGGCATGCTTCCGTTGCGGTAAGACGAATCACTTCGCACTTCAATGTAAATACCGCGAGTATACCTGTTATATTTGTAAAAAGAAAGGGAATCTAGCGTACGTGTGTAAAAATGAGTCGAATAAAAATAATGATAGTTCGAAGAATGCGAGCGCGAGTAAACCTAAAAGCTAAGCATCGCAAGATTTCGTTGAAGAGGTCGATAGCATTTCGTGTAGCGTGCATGATTTCTATACAGTACAAAATATAAGCGATAGTAACGATAAAATCATGATTAAGATGAAAGTTGACAATAAGTTCATAAAATTGGAAATGGATACCGGATCGCCAATAATAGCGATTTTGGAAAAATTATATCGCGAGAATTTTAGTTATACTAAATTGAATAAAACAAATAGAAAGCTGAGGCAATTTCCCAGCGAAATGATGGGTTGCTTTTATCAGTTACCTCCCACTTTCCCGACTCCGCTTTCACGACAACCATTTTCATGACAAGTATTCTTCTCGACGTCCATCATAAAGAATAATGACAATGAATATGTAATAACAAATTTATTAACTTAAAAAATGAAAGTATCTATGAGAGATTTATAGTGTGAGCCAATGAACGAACATATTTCTCCGTCGAAGATATTTTCATGCTGAGCAATCTATTTTAGTTTTTGTGCTCTTTTTATAGCGCGTCCTAATCCTAACTCTGCGATGGATATCTCCACATCGGCCTGTTATTTTTAGAACTCCCTCAGTGCACTGTATAAGTCTGGATGGTGTTTGCCGACAATTAACCGAAAGCGATTGTGCCATCCTTCACTAACGTTATTTGTTTTATGAGTCCCTGCTAGCACAGCATCATACTGATTCCATAACTGTATAGGATAACGTGGAATAATTTTTTTAAAGCTTTAAATGTTGGCAACACATCGTCTACGGGAATATAAGCTAGGGCCATCATCATATGTACAAAATTTGAAATACTTGTCGTGAAAATGATTGTCGAGAAATTTTATTCGGGAAAATTGTTGTCGTGAAATTGGATTTGGGATTTTCGATTGTCGGGAAAAATACTTGTCGTGAAAATGGTTGTCGTGAAAGCGGAGTCGGGAAAGTGGGGGGGAACCATNGGGGGGGGGGGGGGACCCTTTTTTCTTCTGGATTTAGGTACTTTTACAGCGAGTTACAAATTTAGCGATTCGACTAAATAATACCGCGCTGTACGGCACTGGGAGAGTTGACGTGAAATGCCACATATACATCATTGTAAAGTACTCTTTTCGACGAGTCCCTACAGCAAAGGATCAGGTGAGAAATTAGGTCAAAAATCATGCCAAAACATCAAGTGAGAAGTCACCTGATATCTCACCTAATTTTCGATAAAATGATTGTGTTTTTATGAAATTTCAACATGAATATATATAAGACACAGATATATTCAACATAAATATATTTATGCTGAATAATTTATGATTTATGATTTATGTAATATCTTTATGTTGAAATCGAATAAAAGTAAAATCACTTTTTCAAACACTTCAAAATTAAGTGAGAAATCAGGTGACTTCTCACTTGATGTTTTGTTTGATATCAATATATTCATGTTGAATGGCGTTTATGTCAAGTTTTTCTGGATAAAATGAAAATTTTTTGAAAATCTGACGGCACCATCGGAAACCTGGAACAGTTTCATATCGAAATCATATGGTTTAATTTTTCTCTATGGGTGCATTTAGATGCTTTCCTGGCGAGTTAGAAATTGAGCAGTTTCGTTTAATAATGCCGCGTGGACGCAGTGTTAAGAGAATTGACGTAAAATTACTCATAGTTATGTTGAAATCGCATAAAATACAAACATTTTATCAAAAATCAGGTGAGATTTCAGGTGACTTTTCACTTGATGTTTTGGCATGATTTTTAACCCATTTCTCACCTGATTTCTCACCTGATCCTTTCCTATAGAGGTAATTATTAAAAAAAACCTTCTGGTATCATAACATACGATTTTCTACGATTTTTTAAGGTCTGTTTTGAGCTACTCGATTTTTAGTCAGGCAGATCAACCTCCTCGAGAGAATTTTCAAGCTGATTTTGAAACTTCATCTCGGTTCGGAAACCAAGAGAGTTTGAAATTTACAATCAGTTTAGCACGCTAAACTTGAAACTCTGGCCTTGTTAAGTATGTTTCGAAAGGGTGTGATATTTGCAAACGCTGCAAAGGTAGAGCTTGGCACTCGTTTTGTGCACGTTCATGAACCAATCAAAAAGTGTAGCTACAAACTTATGTGTTTAATTAGTAGTGCAATGGGTAGTTGAATTGTTAATATTATCGGTCAATCAATGAGTCAAGAGAGCTCGAAAAGCTATTTAATTTTTTGTGCATCTGTTTAGACTGCATAAAGCTCACTTTCGGCAATTCAAAACTGCTTTTCCATAGCAATGCAGATGTTATGGAGGGCGAGTGATGGATGTTTTGTGGCTTGTCGAGCAGATTAATTTAGAGCTTTGGTGCGACAACAAAGAAAAATCATTAAATAAAATATTAAATCTTTATTCAAAATATTATTTACTGTTACATGTTGTCACTTTAGCGCGAAAACCGCATTGATAAACTCGAGAAGCAAACTTGTGCCTTAGTTTTATGTTGAAAAGATAGGACTAAGGCACGTTTTTGCCTCTAAAGCTTATTATTGCGGTTTTTACGTGAGTCGCCGATGTATGTTCGTCATTTTCACTCTTTTTCCTCCTCCTCATATCTACACTCACCCTCTAGGCATGTTTCAGTAATTTTAAAATGAATACATGTAATGCCGGAACTGGCATTATCTGTTGGGCCGCCCCGACGAACCATCATCGACTTGCCGAGTGTATAGTTAGTTATAAGAATCGTTATTAATAATAGTATTTTGAATCTGATTTCATGTGAGCGCCAAGTGTGAAAGAATAGAACGTAAACAGGAGTATACGTTGAGATACGAGAGCGTACCTGTGAACAGAAGGAGAGTCGAAGATTTGAGAACGAACGGAGCTCGAGTGTGAGAGTTGAGCGCGACATCCTGGGGGATGTCTAGGTCGGATTGACGAGTACCGCGCGGCCTAGTAAGATCTTACGTCGCCCGAGTAAAGAGTGCGAGTGTCGGTACGAGTCAATCCGAGTGCGCGAGAGAGAACCAGCGGATCCAACGGCCGAGCAGACCACAAGGACAGCCAAGGGTGGATCTGGACCAGGAGAAGATCTCGACATCGTGTGGTGAGTCGGGCGGTCCAGTCCTCAGTCGTTGTATTTGTGAGTCGTACGCGCCGACGCGCCCACCAGGGCTACGATCGTCGCGTCTGCCGTGGACCGGGTATTCGGGTACTCTCTGAGGCCGTGTATATTGTTTATTTAATACGAATAAACCTGGTAGTTGTTATTGGTAATATTGAGTGTTTGATTCTTGATGGATGTGTGAGTGTAAAGAGCATTCCTTCCCTGTATTGCATGAATCTTACAGGTAGACCCCGGACGTGCAGAACGGATCCACAAGCCCAAAGGACACACGTAACCGACGAGGTACGTCGGGGGTAAGATATGAGGTTACATACATTATAGAAGAATATTTATTCTAGCTGTGATAAATGTCATATTATTTCACAATGTCGTATAAGAGAAATAATGTAAATATTTGATAATAGTACCTCTCACTATCAGGAGTTTCAGGTCGAGCATTAGGATCTCTTTCTAAGTCTGCAGATTCATAAATTCCTTCGTCATCATGAACAGCATGAGGATGTTGGTGGGAATTAAAAGGACTTCGCCTTGTTGGATGTCGATATCGACCATAAACAAATCTGTTTTCGTCATCTCTACTACGACTGCACCGTCGACTCCTAAAAAAATTTTCAAATGAGATTATAAATTCATTCATTGTAATAAGTTATTATCTTTACTAGAGGATTTTTAAAAATTTTAATTTTTGGTGGAAATTAAAGCAGATACGTCAAAAATTAATGCAATATTATCTTCTTTTATTAGCACAAGGTGAAAAATAAAAAATTCACTTATGAAATAAGGCATGCACCAAAGCAATTAATAATTGGTCTTATTTTCCTAGCTTGGTTAAAAATTCAAAAGACTAATTCCTGAACTTAGATTGTAGCTTAACATCGTTTTTTAGGCTTGCATTTGTTTCTTTGACAAAGAACTGTTGTTTTCCAAAGTTTCAGACTTTAAGCAAAATTACTTACGTCGCTATACTTGTCCTTTATTTAGACAGGTGCGTTTTGGATCTATGTTATAATTGTTCACTAAACCGGCAAAATTGCATAGTAATTTATTGTACAAACATTACCTCTACCCTAGCTCAGAATAGTAATCGAACAGATGTCTATATTTCTGAAGGTGTAAAAAAATTTTGCTTCAAAACTTCAGCCTCACCCTTAAAAAAATTTCCTATAGGAAACATGGTTTTTTCCTCATTTTACACGTTTTTTGGCCCTTCGTAAGCTACTAAATGATCTGTAATGGAAACTCAGTTACCAAAATTTATCAGAAGTTGTATTTTGGTGTATCGATGAACATATTACAATATTGGCTGATTTGAGGTATACGAACAACTTTATTGTTTGACTTTCATGGTCTTTTACCCTATTTTTTTAATTTTAAGTGGTTTTGAGGTTATGAATGTCATTTTTGAGTACAGATTTGAATCCTACATTGAATTTTATATATAAAAACATGGTTTAGAAATTTTTTCATGTGCACCCCAGAAAAGCAGAGTAACAAGCAGAATATCCTCAAAACATGAAAATCCAACTTTGAGCCTCTGTAGATCCATAAGGGTTGGATCTAGAGGGCTGTGATGTTCAGGATTTTCATTTTTCATTGTGTTCTTGAAGAGTACATAGTTAGTTTCAACTTCATTTTTTTGGCCTGCAACACCTGTTGTGGAATAGCCTATATATGGGTCAGATTCAGAATTTTTCAAATAAACCTGCGGGCGAGGTTCACGGATTTTCCTGAAATTTTGCTATGTTATATAGTACATGATAAAAAAGTGCCAAAACCAAAATTTTGGACCCCCTCTCCCCTCCTACCCCCCTCCTACCCCCCTCCTCCCCTATAGACGTCCATGTTCTATCTATATTTTTTCTGAAGGCCTGAAGCTATTAAAAAATCTGAAAAAATTCATGAAGGTACTTTTCAACAATCCAAACAATTTTGAATTTTTTCAGATTTTTCGAGTGCTTCAGGCCTTCAGAAAAAATCATTGAAAATTTAAATTATTTTATTTTCGGTGAAATGGTTCGATATACCAGACCGGAGTATTTTTTTCTGAATTCTGACGTCAAAAAACGATCCTTGAATTTTTTCAGAATTTTTCATTCATGTCCATTCAGCCTAGAGCTGAAAAACCGCTTTTTTCACGAAAATAATTTTTTTAAGGCGCTACGGAGCCTCAAAAAATCTGGAAAAAATTTTTTCTCATTTTGTTCATCAAAATACATAATCTCAAATTTTTTCAGATTTTTTAATTGAAGGCGATAGCGTCTGGAGCCGAAAAACGTTATTTTTAACAAAAAAGGTTCCTGGAACCCGATGGTTCCGGTAAAAACATTTATTTACTGAGACACCGCTTCTGGGAATCACGCCCTTTCTTTCCATATGATTATTGGCTTGAATCGTCCTGGTGTGAGAAGAACTCACATAATTATTAAGTTCACGATTCGTTTGACTTTCAATGAAGAAAAATTGCATTTTGTGGACAAGAACTTGCATTCCTTGCCAGAAATCGAAAGTCACTCGTCATGTGCATTCACCTTTGGTCATTTTCTTATAACTAACAAGGAGATTTTCTCATGTGCACATCGACTTTATTGGTTCGTTGCCTGTCGTTGACTCTCATAAGTATTGTTTAAAAATTATTGACAGATTCACATGTTGGCTTGAGGGGCACCCATTAAAGGATATTTTGAATGAATCCGTTTGTTTTAGGGGAGTCATACACCAATTTACTCCTCTTTATCATTTTGGTGATAGAAATCACAGTTTAATGTCAATCTACATTTTCAACACAATATTGACAACTTTGAGCCCTAAAAAATGTGGAAAAAGTTGTAGAATAGGCCTTTTCTTTCATAAAAATAAATGTTTATTTAACAACAATGCTTATTACAACTTTTCTGGTATTTAAACATTTAAACAAAACCAGTGAAATAACAAAGATTAACAACACAGAATATCCCTTGCATGGCTCTCGCTGTGAATCTATATAAAAAAAAGATATGTTTGACATAAACTAGCTTCATAATAATAATGTTTTAAATTTAGACTTTCACATACGCCCCTTAGAAAAAGGTGAAAACGTAAGATTTAGCGACAATTTCATTTTAAATTACTAAAAGAAAAGAGGGATATGATTACTCTTACACTATTATTAATTGTTTGAAACCTTGTTATCATAACTAAACTTTGAGAGCATTACAAAATCATATTTTGTGGTACTAATATTGTATTAATGTAAAAAAGTTTTTGAATCATAATAATAATTTACGATACAAGTGCCATAAGTAACACTTTTTGGCGCGGCGTAGTTTAGGGCCCGAGCGCAGAGTACAACATTTTATAGCACTGTGCTAAGTTCACATTTATGCCCCCTTTTCCCAACCATGAGTCGCACTTTCTGGTAACGCGAAGTAAGGTTAGCGCACGAGCGTATGCGAGTGTGATACGAACGCAGCGGTGCCAGAATGGGCGATTTATGCCACCGAAAAGCGTCCATAAATGTGAACTTATGCCACGCAGTGCTATAAAGAATCTTTTCGTTATATCTTGTCCAAGGTACGTGGTACAATACATGTTTTTGATTTCCATTTACAATATAATTTTCCTCGTCAAGGTATTTGAAGCTTTCTGGTGGTAAGCAACCTAATTTTATGGCCGCTTTATAACAATTGTCTCTAGGATAAAAAGGTCCTCAAATTAAATAACTAGATTTATTTTGTATAGCACTTTTTATTTGTTTTCTAGTCAAATAAACAATAACAGTGTCGATTTTTGGCATCATTGCCCTATTATACAAATAAAGATTACTATTTCTATGCGTAAAGTTACTCTTTGGATCGAAGTTTAAGTGTAAGCAAGTTCTCATGATTCTGCGCCCCAATATAGGATCGGTCTTATAATACACATATATATGCTATAATTTTCGCTTTTGCGTACAAGTGGCGAGAGTAGAACAGGCTTAGCAAAGACCCGAAGACTGCTGTGGCTTTACCAAGTTGAGTTTTGGTATGAGTTGAAAAGTTTAGTAAGTCATCAAGTGTAATTCCAAGGTATTTGTCGCTTCTTTTATGAGGGACAACAATATTGTTAAGCTCATCTTTGGTGCTAAAGTTTTTCCAATTCTCTTTGGTATGTCTCTTCTCTAGCGCGACTGGTCTTCTAAATAAGATTGTTTCACACTTTTCAGTGTTTACAGATAATTTCCAATTCTTGCAGAATATGATAATTTTATTGAAAATGACTTGGAAGGTATCTTAGACGATTTTCTGTTTGCAACTATGTGTGTACAAGATCAGGTCATCGGCGAACGCAAAGCCGATACACTGCCTTAATTTAAATCATAAAGTTTCAGTAAATTCGCGGTGAAGATATTAAACAATATCGGTGAATTAACAGTTCCCTGTTGGAATCCCTTGGTTATAGAAAAGGTATTCTGAGCTGAGATACCGTTCATTTTCAGTTTGAATTTCTGCATAGGCATGCCGTATTTAATAAGTTTTCTTTTCTTAGATCGGCTAAAACTGCACCAGTCATGTTGCCATTCATCATATGCCAATTTTTGTCCGATGTGAATTTAGCGATAGCGTGGGTGGTACTGTGTTCATAACGGAAACCAAACTGGTATGCCGGTATTATGTATTTTTCTGAACAGAATATATCAATTGATTTTTCGATGACACGCTCAAAATTTCGCTTTCAACGGAAAGCAAGCTAATTGGTCTCAGATTATCTAATTCGGTCCTATGGTATGGTTTTTTCTTAAGAACAATAAGCTTTGCTACCTTTCAGGCGGGTTGGAAGTATCCTAAATTCAAACAATTGTTCATCAGCACAGTATAGTCTTTGACAATTCTTAGGCCAACATTCTTAAGGATTGTTGTAATATACGACTTTTCTGCTTGCGGAGCATACATGTGCGTATGTGTGTGATTCGCCTCGGCGGCGCTGTGTGGCGTGTACATCGATGCAGGGCCTCGACCCGTGTATGTGTATGCAGGAGAGGGGAGTACGATGCTGCGAGCTGGCCGACTTCGTTTTTGCGCGCGTTGCACGGCACAGATATATTCGCATCACGGCCGCGACTACACTTGTCCATTGCGACATCCTATTGTATTTCACCTTTTATAATAAATACTTTTTGTGTTACATTTTACAAGGAGAGTCTTTCATCTTTGGGTCACAGATCTTTACTAAACTTGTTTGGGGATTTTCTTGTACATAATAATAAAGCCCCCTATGGTTACTTTATTCCAATGGGCCCTAGAAAGAGTTATAGAGCAGAAAAAAGTATTAAATATAATATAATGTTAAAAAATATCACTTATTGGTATCAGGCCTTGTACGGTCCAGTCTAACTTTCTCAAAAATATTTATACATGAACTTTTATGCATTCTAAACACTTTTGCAAACAATAAACAATTGAATTCAATTGGTGTTCCGTGTGAGGATAATAAATAACTGGCTCGAATTTAAAATCCAACAATAATTAGTCTCTTTATTTACTACGTTTTTCGTCGGCACACGAATACTGCCAGCCGGCTCAAAAAAAAACGATAAGCCGCGACTGTGTCGAGAGCTCGACGGGCTAGTTTGGTAGAGCTTCGA